CAGTCCTGCTTTGCTTTGTCAAAGCTCAATTTTGTATCATTCCTTCTCAACTGTTTCCTTATTCCCCTAATCTGGTTGCTAGCCCCAAGTCTTCCAGGCTAGACTACTCAGAGTTATCTTTAACTCCTAGTTCTCATATTACCCCTGTGCCCCTGCCAAGGTTTGTCAATTCCACCTCTGTGATGTCTTTGGTTTTCATCTTCCACCATTTTATGTTTTATAAGTACAAATCTATGAGAATGACAGGGATTGGGGAGGAGAGGGATGGCCTCAAGGTGTCTGGAAGCAGAGAAGAGCAAAAGAGCTCAGGACTAGAAATTGACCCAAGTTCCCAGGAGAGTAAAACTATATTTGGAAATATATTATATTAATTATATTAATATATTAATAAATAGCATGTCCATGTGATAAAATAAAAGAGATATGAACATCTCCTGATTTAAAAACATCAATAAAATCTAGCACTATTTCTTAAGAAAACTTCAAAACATAACCAGGAATAAGAGCCTGCCTGCTAACTAAGATGGAGAATTCCAACACTATTTGCAACCAAGATCCAATATCCCATATAACAATGGCATATTAGAAGAATTAATACTCAAATGAGGACAAAATACATAACCATAATTTTATACCACAATTTCGTAATATATATTTTGGAATGCTAAGAAACGTAGACAGATAGAAAACAAAATTAAGAGGACAATGTTGGAGAAAATACATGAAGGCTTGCAGATGATATAATTGTTTAAGGATAACTTAAAAGATTCCACCACTAACTGCTATAATTTATAAATGACTTAAGTAATTTATTCAAACATAATATCAACCTATGCAAAATAATGTTGTATAAAAGTCAATGGTATACAGTCAGGAAACATACTGAAATATACAATAGTGACCGAAGAATATTCTGTCTTGTAAAAAAATCTTAACAAGAGATATGTTGAACTTATGAAAAAAATAAACTATATTTTACGAGTAGTTTAAAGAGAAGACTTGAATACATAAGGAATTACAATATGTTTCTAATTAGATTGACTAATATTGCAAAGATCTCAATTTTTCTTAAAGTAACTTTGGTTAAATGCAGTTCAAAAATTTTTATACAGAGTAGACAGTATAAGAGGATTCTAAAGTTTATCAGAAAATATAGATCAATGATACAAAGGCAATTTTTTACAAGAAATTGATTTTATGATAGTGAGAATGGGTAGCTCAACCAGGGAGATAATATTTATGTTACTATTTTTAAGACAATTCAATACTGACACAAGAATATATGGGCACATTAGTGGAAATAACTTCAATTAGATATAGATATAGATATTAGATATAGAAATGTAATATATTATAAAGCAGATAATAAAAATAAAGGAAAACAGAGCAGTAGTCTATAAATGGGGCTAGTGGATTTGACTATTTAGAACATTTATCAACAGATTCACCCTTCAAAAAATACACCAAAGTAAACTCCAGATGGATTAATGAGTTAAATTAGGTTTACTAAAACATATCCATTGCTAGCGTATTACAAAAATAATGAAATGGAGATCACTTATGATATAATGTGGGATGAAAGGTGTTTTATCTTTATCTTTTTAAAATTTGTATACCTTCCTGATTTGTCAAGCATTCATTATGACAAATAAATGATACCTTTTCACTTAAAGGAACAAATAATCTAGAAAGGACATAGGTAATAGTATTTATTACTTATTGCATTTACCTTCTTCAGTATGCGGGCAGGACTGTTACCCATATTGACAGCCAAGGTGAAACACATTTTTATGTTGGCTGATCAGCCACCCCTCTTTCTGCTGCAGACTCTGTTTAGGCTCTGAGGTCCAGGGGATTATGTTGAGTCATCTGTCCTGAATCCAGGTCACCCAACTTTGAATGTAACACTTGGAGACCTGGCTAAGAAAATATGAACAGTGAGGGTGGGGTTGGAGGGAAGGGGAGATTCATTGTTAATATTCCTATTGCAAAAGAAGCCAGTGACCAGTACCCACACCAATTTTATAAATCACAGGCACAGCATATATTTGTTGTCTTAGGAAGTTTTGGAAGCCAAAAGAAGTTAAGGATAGCTGGAAAAGTTATAGCTGACTGGTGAACCTGGAAGGCCCCAAAACCACTGCCTCTTTTTCATAGAGAAGGGACGTATGTGCCCATATTTTATCCCATTCTTCCTAAAACTTGATCAAACCCACCAGTGGGACTCGAAGAGGCATGGAAGGGCAATTTGAAATCCTATCTTTCCATTTTAATGGGGACTCACCAACAAGGTGGAGGTGGAGAGAAGGCAAGCCAATTCATATGTTTTGTTCTTCCTTCCCTACAACCCAAACATTCAGCGGAATGCCTTAGGACACATATCTGCTATAAATTCATTTTTTATCTAATTTGTCTGAGATCTAAGCTTCATGTGGAGGTCTAAGATCAAAAGATCTGATTCTTTCTGATGTTGGCGCTGACATATAAAGTGTGCTGACTTAGTTCTGTCTATAACCTCACAGTGGGACGCGGCCAGCCTCCCTGGGCACCTTTACACAGTGCACTTTCATTTTGGCTGGGGAGTCTGTCAGGTGTGTTGCTGATTGGAGCTACCATGTAAATAATTCATGGGAGGTTTTTAATGTTTTTGGGCCTGCAAAGGAAAGCTACGCTTGTGTTAGCCTTTTATGAATAGATGCAGACGTGAAGAACAAGGAGGAACAGATTTCCAGTGACGGTCTCTTGAAAACAGGATAACAATGTCTTCAATGGATTGAAGATAGGTGACTTGTAGTGTTTGATTCCTCTTGTATGAAGTAGTATTGGTTTTCCCAAGGGATAAAAAATTCAAATCGTTTTTTCCTTTTTTAAGTTTGCTTCTACCTGACAATTTATTATTCTTGTTCTTTGGTTATTTGCTGATCTTGATAAACTATGTCTTTTCTTCCTGGTGGGAGCAGTAATTATGGAGATGACACCAACCTCAGTACTTGGCATAGAACTGGGCATAATAGGAGGACAAGGTTGATGGCACAAAGAGTTTCTTCCTTGAAGGCACTCAAAGCCTCGCAAGAAAGACAAGACTTTCATACAAGGAAAGGTGACCAATAATAGAAGCAGTTGTACAAGTCAAGTGAGAAACTCCAGTCAACAAGTGTTGAGACATAAATCAATGTAGTTTGAGCTGTCAAGGAACAGTTCTGGAAGGGTTTGAAGATCCCAAAGAGAAACTAGGATAACCTAAAAGTTCTCATAGCTCTAAGCAAGAGAATTATCCCATAGTTAGGTGGCCATGGGAGATTCATGCTAGGCAAAAGAACCATGGAAAAGGAGAGAGAAGATATGAATAGCATGAGTTTGGCAGAATGTTAATTGATGTGTCATGGAAACAACATAAACAGCGTGATTACTTTATCTCATTTTACTGTTCCAAATCCAAAATGTATTACATAAATTTATGTTGTTATTACTTTCTCTCTTCCTCACCTCAGTTCTCATTTATTGTTAGATTAAATTGAGGTAGGAAATTGGGAATGTTTGCCCCACTACTATCTCTTATATATAGTGTGATATAGACATGATTACTGTATCCTAACTCAAAGCAAGACAGATCTCAGTAAACTGAGAGAGGAGCATAATACAAAAGTTAATAAATTAGCGTTAATATTGTATATAAAAGAGTGGCTAATGAATTTGGTGGTGACGTGAAAAAAGCAGGAAAGGGAAATGTTGATGACAGTATTGTCACCTATCTCCCAGGAGTTAAGGATAGTTCTCAACCTTTTCTTCACTGTAAGGCACATGCAAGATGACATTCACAGGCATGCATGCTGTACTCTCGTGCATGTATCCAACCGAACATTCTTCTTAACTCTCCATTGCTATCTTTAACTTTACACAGTATTGGATGGTGCTTAGAGTCCAAACTCTGGAGCCAAAAATCTTGAGTTCTGTAAAGTAAGTAAGATCTGTCACTGCTTTGTATGTAGTCTTGGAAGTTACTTAATCTCTCTGTACCTCAATGGCCTCCCCTCTAAAAGGGAGATAATAATAGGACTTACTTCAGAGGGTTGTTTAAGGATTAAATTATATATATGTAACTTAGTGCCCAACATGATGATTACTATAAGTGCTGTACAAGTGTTACTTTAAAATACTATTAACCTTTCTCTCTTCAAAGAACACATATTGGAATGCAAGTGAATAAAGGTGTCATGAACATAGAATAATCTTGAATTTCCTTTAATTTGTTTTAAAAAAACTATAATTTAATAGATTTATTTAAAAAATTGAACTATAATACCTTATTGTTTATAAAAATAGATTGATGATACATCCTTCAATATACAATGTTTTATGAAAATGAGTTATGAAATACTTCTGAAGGAAGTGAAATATTTGGGGAGATGAATAAAAGAAGGCAGAGAGTTTGGAGAGAGAGGATGGAAAAAATATTTCAGGCCTAGGGTGTGTTTTAAGATAATTCTTAGAGGTGGGAAATGAGGTAATTACATATACACACTCATATCTCGACATATGTTTATGTTTTTATAAAATCAAAGATATTCAAATTGTGAATTTGGCATAAAAGCCAAAGTATTAGATAATACTTTTTTTAGAGTTTTTAGAGCTCATGTTTCTTAATACAAGCGTGAGTTAACCCACTTGTAAGGCCTGACTGGTCCAGTTTTCATATTTTAGCTGTCATGCTTGTGATGAAAAATCCTTGTTGACTTATCAACATCATAAAAGTGCTTTTCTGGGAAACAATATTATCAAATTTTTGTTAGATAATTAGTATTAAGTATAAATTGGGCTTGGGATAAAGTGGGTTTTTTTAGAAAAAATATATTTCCAAAGATATTTGGAAACGATAAGCTGATATAACTCAATCTTTAATTATTTGGAAATATCTTTTCAGGAATGCTAAATATGGAAAATGTGTAATCAACTGAATGAGAACTAAATCTGTTTTTTGTCCTACCTCTTTTCTCTCACAGATATGAGGATGAAGGTCATGCTGGGCCAGCTGAACCAGCTGCCCCACCAGTCACTAAACGGAGTGTCCAGAAGGAAGGTTAGCCGCCGTGCCGTTGGAGAGGAGCATGGCAGCCAAGAAGAGGCTGCTGTGCCTGCTCCCACTATTACCAGAGTTACGTCCCATGGACACACCTGTGCTCCAGGCTCTGCTGCTCAACAGGTGTATGTTCAGGAGACCGGGAACTGGAAGGAGGCCCGAGAGCAGTTGCTCAGCTACCAGCTAGCAGGCCAAGATCAGCTGCTGCTCCTCTACCCAGACATCAGACGAGAGAGGCAGCAAGTGCAGGGGCAGAGTCAGTTGGACAAGGAAAGTGGCAGATTGGGGCTTTCCCAAGAGAAGAAAGCCTCCTGTGGTGCCACTGAGGCATTCTCCCTTCATTCAGTACTTCCAGAAACTATTCAGGAACAGCTGTGATCGAGGAGCGGTGAGGGCATTTGGCCTGAAAGTCAGAATGTTCAAAATACTTCTGGAAAATGAGCAGGGGAGATGAGGCCTGACCTGTTTGAAGACGAAGAAGGAAGAATATGGACTCAATTCTCTTTTTTCAATTTTAAAATGGAAGATAGTCATATAAATGCTTGTAGATTGAAACAGTCTCTGATATATCTTTTGTATTTACTATAGATCCTGGTCCTAATGCCAGTCAAATAATAGGTTCCCAAATATTTGTTAAATTTTTGCTTGTTTTTAACTTAAGCCAGTTATCTTCCTGATTTCACCATCTTAATAATGGTGTAATACTGATTTATACCAGTAGGGGTTGTTATTAAGCTTCCTCTGGGATGACCACCCATAGTGCTTTGGGATCCTCTAATGGAAGGGATCATGAAAAAGTCTGGTTGGCTACAGTTATTTCTGCAGTGTTACAGCAAAACATTTCTTTATCCTCTAGGAACATTTGAAGGACAGGAGAAGACCCGCTCCGTGATCTGTCAGAGCTTACCTTCCAACCACAAGGCAACTTCGTGGTTTTTTATAAGCTGATTTTACTTCATGGCTTAAATTCAATCATTGTTGGGAGCCCACAGTAGAACAAACATATCAAGTTTTCACCTCATGAGTATCGACTCATGAAAATTGATATTCTCATGGGCTTTGCAGAGATTTAGTTAAGGACAAAGATACAAAACCAACAAGTTTGGGGAAGGAAATTGTCCATGAACCAAAATTATACTTTTCGATAGTTCTTTCTGTTAGTAACTGGGTCAAATTTACAACTGGAAGGAAACTGTGTTGGGAGACTAGAGATAAACAAGTGGCCAAGTAGATTGATTATGAACTAACTCGTTTGTCAGAGAACTGCTTTTTGGAAAAGATAATGCAAAGAGCTGCCCAGTGAAGGGGAAAGAGACTATTATATCGTGTGCAGCCTCTCTAGGCTGTACTAGGGGTTCAAATGGAGACCAGAGCAGAGAATCAACTGGTGTTGACAAACTGAGTAAGGATGCGAAAGGCAATTTCACCTAATTCATGCATTTGCACAGGGCTCATCTGTGTTCACACTAAAGGATACTTTAAGCAGCCTAACTGTGTCCTTCATTCTGGATCCAGAAGGCCTTGTGCTCCAAGAGAATAAAGTAAAGGTAGCAGAGGTGAGGAGAATTTCCGGAAAGAACTTGCTCTCTGCTTTTCCCTAAATAAAAACGAGGATTTTCCTGAAAGATTAAGAAGCTGTCCTATGTTTTAATTAGAACAGAGGAAGGAAACACACTCTTTCATTACAGAATTTTAAATAATGATGTTCTGGGTTCAGCCCCATAGGAGGTACTGGCAGAAAGTCATCATCTGCAGGGCGTCAATGGGAGAGTATGTCTCACTGTTTACCATGAGTTGGTAGGAACTTTCTCAGCCTCTTTGTCCATTCTTTACGTGTCTTGTGGACATCTCAAACCTTAAAGCTGCCTTGTGAGGTGGTAAGCAGCCTTCTCTGTGACACCATGCGGGATTCTGAGAGAGATACGAGTAGATCTTAAGGTTGATGCTCTCCAAGAGATTCCACTCCAGGCCATCTGTGTTTAAGGAGGGCATTTAAGGGTAATCTGGCCTTTATAAGTTTACTCAGGAGTTACAAGCTGGCTGCCTGCACAGTAAAGCCTCTTTATAGTTGTATTTTGTTTGGGTAGTATCAGTGTTTAAAAGGATAACAAAAAATTTCTTGAATGGCTTCAGCAGAATATACCTTCTCTAGTTCAAACAGTTACTGCTATAATCTGTCCTTTATCTCATTTTTGTATAAGCTTCCTGGTCTGTGAAGTCACTTGTGTTTGCAATCTTTACTTTAGTGCATACATTGGGTCCTCAAAGAGCTATAATCTTTTCGTACAAAAACATTTCGGAAGTTAAGGCTTTTGAGGATTATGAAATGGTAGCAGTCTTAGCTCTGTCTGCTGAGGGTTCGTCTACATATTCTCCCTTTCACTCTGGGTATTTCTTTCACTACTCAAATGCCAGCCCAGATTGCTTTCCTGAGCTCTATGCCATATATTTAGCTGCCCACTGAGAACTTCAACAAGGTTATCTCACAGCCACTACGAGGTTAACACAGCATTAAAATCTGTTCCTCCTCATGCTTTCCCCAGAACAACGCACAACATCCCTGTAGTCAGACCAGAAGTCTAGAACTCAACCATGACTCCATGTTCTATCTCACCCTTCCCAAACAGTCAGCTACCAGATGTTAGTTCTTTATTCTTCTCCCAATCTTCACTATCTTTTTATCCATCCTCCATGTGCCAAAAGACTGATATGTCTAGAAGAAAAGTTTGATCCTATCCCTCTGTTTTGGAACAACCATATTTAACCTATTAATTCTACCCCCAGGAAAGCCTGGGATACCTGAGGCCAGAAGGACTCTTTGGGCCTGAAAAGCAGCCAGACATCCAGAATAACTTGCTGGGCTTTAGCATGTGGCATGGAATTTCAGAGTCTAGCCAGAATCCCCCAACTTGTAGTTAAGCCAGTCCTCTGTTTCTTCATCAAAAAATGGAAGAATTGGGTACATACTGGAAGCCAAGAGAGTAGCTCTTGGTTCATTCATGTCTGGAGGTGAGCCGATTAAATACAGCACTGCTATAGGCCAACCCTGAACTTATTCAGACTAAGAACATGGTAACCCGGTAAATATTTCCCAGCAGTAATAAACCTTACCCTTTATTCAAATAAATAATTGCAAAATGTCTTGCTCCTGTGTTATTTTAAAGAATCTCTTCTTGCCTCCCATTTCTGATTCTCTATATACGGTGGACTCCTTTCCCCTAAGATATAGAACAAACTAAATTCTAGAGAGTTCAAAAATATTTGTAAGTATTTATGGATGTTAAAATTGAGAGAGAAGAATGAAGGAAGCTAAGGTAGTTTCCACCATCTCTTGAGTTTTTAGGATTGTGTTCAGGGAAGGTACCAGACTTTAACAGAACTTCCTGTTTCTCTCAGAGTGACAGACTGAGCCAATCTGACCAGGGTTGTGTCCTGCCACAGACTTGCCCATATTATTGCCCAGTAAGGCTACTGAGTACCAAGAGGTCTCACAAGCTCGCTCAGGGCCCAGGCCTTTCAAGGATTATTTAGTTGAATGAATCCCTTCCGTCCAGCAGTCTAACTCCAAATGTATGAAATTACCATACATTGAAATATATGCAAACTCTATGCAAAAATGAGTATAGGGAAATTGAATGTAAATCACATGCAAATATTATTCAACCAAGCTTCTATAAAATCGTACATGTCAATAACAGTAAGGATTTTAATTAATTCTGTCATTTAAAATTCATGCATTTACTCCATATTTTGTTTCCAGAATTTATAATGTATTCAATGCCAATTCTGAAAGAGCTGTAAGCAGAAGGAATTACTCTGCTGAGTGTAGAATAGTTGATTTCAACCCACACTATAGCGTGGTGACTAATTATAGATATACTTGATAGACAAATCACATTTCCAGAATGTAATTTTTAAAAAGAAATAAAACATTTTTATAAAGTTAAATGAGGCTTAAGTGGTAGAATACAGAGATTTGGATGTTTACAAATATCCTTCTAGCATTTATTATTTTTAGATCTCAAAAATGACTGGGGTTCTCTTTTCTGGGAACAATTCATGAAAAGAGTAGATTCTGCCCATGAATCTTGTCTGTTTTGAGACAGCTTTGTTTAATGAGTTTGTAGGACTTTCTAGAATTTATTGGGATATGAGGAATTGATTGTTTCTATATCATTGCTTATTTTAATCTCAAAATGATGATTCATATATTATTCTCACCATATATTTTATTTCAAAATTAGTAGCTTTAAAAAGGGAAAAGAGAAATAATTTCCTTTTGAAAAATGTGAGAAATGCCCACTTGTGTCTCCACTTCATAGATGAAGAAACTGTCAATTGCCAAATGCTTACAATGGTCCAAGGCAAAGTTGGAAATTTGTTTGTACTATATCTGCTTCTTTCCAAAAATTTTCTCAATTTAATGGTACATCCATCCAATAGAATGACTGATGTAGAAAATTACTCAGAATATATTATTAGGCTAAAAAAAAAGAAAAGCAAATTACAAAACAATGTATATAGTATGCTTTTACCTATACTTTGTGTATAGAAAAATTATGGAGAGATAGCCAATACATTTTTGAAAACAATAGTTACCTTTAGGGAATGGAGTAAAGAATATGGGTAGATTTGCACTTCAAATTTTATATCTTTTTGTATTTCAATATTTGTGTAAAGACAAATTACTACCAAAACAAATTTTAAAAAATATTTTCTCCAAGCTAGCATTGACTAGAGGTTAGCAATCTCTTTAGATCTCATCCAGGGATAGGAAATGCTTATAGGAAATGCTCTTAGTCCTTGAAGGAAGACTAAGATAGATATACAGGAGAAGGAAAAGAGGGTAGAGAGTAGAAGATGAATGGACCAGAAGGAGAGGCCAAGGAGATATAAAAGTACAGAAAGTCTCCAAGTGTGGAGAGGAATGTTCCATGGAGGACAGTGGTTAGAGTGTGACCAAATCTGCTTTCTGACCACAGTATCTGTGGAATGTCATGCAGGTCATGTCACCTAGGGTCCCATCTGTATGAAAGGCCTATAAGGAAAACTTATGTATGGCTATGGACTCAGCAACTCTCAATAAGATTCAAACTTAAAAGAGCTGCCTTTCCATCACTGATATGGAGGAAACACTGGGGAAGGAGATGTTCACCCTAAGTCAAGAGTGGATTCAACACGATACCCATAGCACTGAGAAGTTCTCACGGGATAGCATCCCTCTCCCCCCAGATTAGTGCCACATGTGTACTTCTTCCAGCCTAGCTCCATAAAAACTTATCCTAAACCCATACCAAGTAGTATTATAACCCTGAACACAAAGCGCTGATTATTGGTAGCAGCTCTCGCAGCACACTTATTAGGCAGGTGCCGGAGGCTCAGACTTTTGTGATAGATCCTTAAGTCAACAGGCTGTGAGCTTTAATTTGCAAATAATGGGTGTGGCCTGAGAAATAAGGTGTTCCAAAATTTTCTTAAATTTTGGGATACATAAAAAATCCCAAATTGCATGCTTATCTGCTATTTAGACAACTCTAGTAGTGCTGTAAATTTGGGCTATAAGTCTAGTTATACCAAATTTTCTCATTAGAATTTTTTTCCACATATCTTTATTCTATTCCCAAG